ATAATAGAGATTCGAATAGTTTACTCTCTGTTGTATATATAATATTATCACTCAAGTATTTCAATATTTTCACACATACACACACACACAAATTTGTATATCTATTATATTAAATATATAAAATTTTAATATTTAATATATAAAATTATAAATAATATATAAAATATATAAAATATAAAATTATAAATAATATATATAATATATATTATTATATATATTATTTATAATATATATAATAATAAATAATAATAAATATCTTAAAATTATAAATAATATATATAATATATAAAAATATAAAATTATAAATATTATATATAATATATATAATATATATAATATATAAAAATATAAAATTATAAATAATATATAAAATATATAAAATTTTAATATTTAATATATTTTATATTTTAATATATAAAATTTTAATATTTAATATATTTTATATTTTAATATATAAAATTTTAATATTTAATATGTCTATTATATTAAATATATAAAATTTTAATATTTAATGTATTTTGAATAAAACTCTGAAATCGAATGCTAGTTTTCTCAAGCTTATCTCAAACAATAACACACGGTTAATTGATAAACATTGATAAAGGAAGATGTAATAATCGGTGACGCTACTGTGGTGTCATGTTTTAGTTGTTAACTTTTAGTTGTTAATATACATCGAAAAGTGTAGTATAAAATATTCAGACAATTCATAGTCAAAATTTAAACTTGGACGTATTTTATTTGAGATAAAATAAAAAATATCTTAAGTAGAATATCACAGAAAATCATTATTTCATGATACTTTGATCTAATAAAAATAGAAAAATAAACGAAAATTCGTGAAATTGAACAATTTCTCCGAATACTACAAAATACTACAAACGGGAGACAATTTTCGAATGTTCATGACTTATATTGAATAGAATTGGGTATATTATGGCAACAAAAAATAATCATGTCATGAATGAAAGTATTGTAAAATAAAAAAAAAACTCGAAAAATATAAATAATTGTATATATCGTATTATAAAATTGTATATTATTTTTCAAAATGAAAATGCTCTGTGTAATTAGATTTCGAAAAATGATAGTTGACTCAAACGACTTGTCTGGTGATCAAAGGTAAGAGTGTCTACGTTCTCGTGTACAGTTCTCCATGATTACAGAAAAAATTTCGTGTGAGTCACCTCTCACGAGTGAAAGCTATCTTATCTCAGAAGAATCATGTGATCAATTTAAAACGTGTTTTTTGGTAACTGTTATTATATCCCAACTATAATTTTTTAAAACAAATATCTATAGATTTGTATTTGCACGACGTATTTACTTTGTTTTCTTAAACGAAATATATTGATTAATTTTTCATTCGTGAGAGTTCTTAGAGAAAATGACAAAAATTAATTCTAGATAAATGTTAGATTAATTATAGAAATGTTAGAATAATAGAAATGTTACAAATCGCTACTACTGATAAATTCTTTTACATAACGGTAAGAGATCTAGTAATGAATAATTATAACTAATAAATATAAAATAAACTACTATAATAAATGTACTATAATAAAAATGTAAAATGAAACAATAAGTAACGTTCAATTCTTAAATTAACTTAACATCTAATTGTCCTGTTTGAATAATTGCGCCAAGCAGTAAAATTGTGTAACAAAAATATATAAATATATATTTTTCAACATTGTCAGTTCAGTAGTATTATTGCTGGAATATTTATTTATTTGTGTTCATATCACAAAATATGAAAATACATAAATACATAGAAAATATAATAAATCATCACAAAAGATATGTGAAATCCAAACTACAGTACTTATAATATCTGGCAAGACTTTAATAGTCAATTACTGCCAAATTTTTATTCAAATTCTTTTATAAGTACGATACGTGCAAAAATTTCTTAGAATTTTTCCAAAAAATATTGTGTATACAAGGAAATTTATTTCCTTCAATTTTTCTGAATAAATTTCAATCGAAAATTAAATTAAATTAATAATTCCATGTACCGTGTGTGTACATATGTATACCGTGTGTTCTTATTGCTAATTTTATAATTTATGTTTCTACACTTACTTATTTGATATACAGTTACTTATTTAGAAGAATAAAATTTTTATCTATGTTATCTCTTCTTATTTAGTTAAATATTTTATAAAACAACCAAACGTAACATTTCACAATTTGTTCATGAAAACATTTAATAAATTCATTAATTTTCATTTAAATTGTTCATTTAAACATTTGATAAAAACGCACTATGTTTCTGTTGGAGTTCTTTCTCCGGGTATGAATATGAGTACTTCAGCATTCGAATTTTCTTCGATAATTATTTAAAAAAGGGAATGCCTCGACAATTGCAATGATCTTGAAATATGTTGTCGCGGTCATGATCTTGAGTCAACTTTTCCTTAAATATGACATCGCTCGGTCTCGGTTTCCGAGACACATGCAAAAGCTTTCGACAAAATTTCCAGAAACGTGTCACTTCTGATTGGCTGAAGTTTTGAAGGTAGCTTCACTCATCTCTACATAGAGACAATGTATACAAAGACTTTTGGTGACTTGAGAGTTAAAACTCGAAATTTTGCGAACTTTCGAAAAGTGATTATATTTGAAACAAGCCGAATAGGAACAGATTGAGACTGGTGGTTATCTTCCTGCTGCCAAAACGTAGTATTGAAAATATTTTAATTGATGTAATAAAAGACGTAAATACAATTGATAAACTATTAGAAATATTTTTATGTACATTTGCATCCCATCCGTATTTCGATCAATTTAAGTAGTCTAACTGAAATATTCATTTAAAAAAATTATTTTAATAATTCATTAAAAATATATAAAAAAAAATTTCAAAAGGAACAATATTAGTTGGATATGTTTATTGGGTAAAGGAATAGTCGGTATTAATTAAATAAATCCATCATTTGAAAATAATTCACAAAAATAAATGATTCTTAATGGATAAGTTATCTGTGGAAATATTATATGTACTGAAGTATATATAATAAGATACATATAAACTCTCGAATATCCTATTACATACCCAAAAGTCATTGAAATCGATGAAATTTGCCCATTAAGAAGTAATATATTTAATTTATTAAATATAATTAGAAGTAAAGTACCCTTTAAGAAGTAATATATTATATATTATAATAAAGTAATATATTTTTATAAATAACTCAGAAATTAGGTGTATATAGGAAAAAATATAGTCAGAATGATGACTGATGACATATTTCAAGGTTGTCAAAATCAGCGAGCAATTTTATTTTCTTGATAATTTCTTCTTCTTCATTTGAATTCAAATGATACTTCCAATAATAAATAAAATGAATGCTTTTATTTTCTATTTCAAATACTATCTTACTCAGAACATAGTTATTATTTAAGTAATGTCCAAACCTCTTACGATTATTGAACATTTTACCAATTTATAAATGCTATGTGCTTATATGTCCACTCTTTGAACCTTGAATAGGTATAAAGGATCATTTGCTCAGCTCGCGTGTAAAATGTAAATATATGACGATCGAGATGGTCAAATACGCCCTCGACGTACACGAAGCGTGGCCAATGTCAATCGTTTTATCGGCGATCATTTTCCGTGTATCTCCAACAATTCTGTGAGTGAGTTTCCATTTAAGATAACACACCTTTTTGGAACGTCTATTTTGGTGCTACAAGGATTTTCATATCGCAGTATTTCGCACATTTTATTTGAAGATCTTTGGTATCGTAGTAAATTTCTCTATAACGTATAACATAGAGTTATTACGTTGATACCAAAATCTTATATTATATTCCATGCTGCTGTAATTTTTTGCAACTATTTCTCTCGAATCGTGTATTTATTTACTATAATCAATAAGTAAATATATATATATATATATATATACATAGATTTAATCGATATTAAATAAATCAAATCATGGTCGTGTACAATATAAAATATCTGCATTATACATTTCAAAAATGAAAAAATTTTAAAAATGCAAATTTTTCTGTTTTAATTAATCCTAAGAATTTTAAGATGTTAGATTAAAGTATGCCTGGGCTCATTATCCACGTAAAAAAATATCTTTTTGTTACATAATTTATGATATACAATTATTACATATTATAATATATTTTTTATATCGTGTACCTCATAATTTATAAAAAATTTAAATATAAAATATGATAATTTTATATTTAAATAATAAAATAACATATAAAAATAAACATTAATTTTGCAATAAAACAAAATTATTATTAGAAAATACTTGTCGCAAAACATAATAATTGTTTCTGAATGTTCATTATTATTTATTGCTAGATTTTTACGCATTTATGGAAAATTTGGAAGTGTAAAAATATACAAAAATATATAAAATATCCAAAATATAATATTCTTTATATTTAACAAGTGAAATAATTTTCTACAGATTTCATTTTTTTAATTATCTTTGCATAAACACCCACAATTTATTCATTACAAATAAAACAAATATTTGTACTTGTCACAAGTAAAATTAACAAACATATTTGTTAACATATATCTTATAATATTTTTGTACATACACAAGTATTATATTTCAAGAAAAAAAAGAGTTAAAGTCCTGAACAAATAGCATCATTAATTTTAACACAAAACTACTAATCATCATTACTTTTAATACATAAATAACTACTAATCATCATTACTTTTAATACAGAACTAGATTATTAACCTTCTATAAAACTTCTTTTTTGAGAGAAGCTAATATTTAAAACTTGGTGGACATTTTAAACAATTTCTAGAACCCTCCCTGAGTCTCTTAGGGTTTGAGCGAATCAATTTTTATTTTTGATCTTGAAACTCAACTCTTGAGATACTGATATTTGATATTACTATAATCTTGAAGTATTTAAATTTAAAAACTTAATTATTTTTGTACAAAAGAGTAATTAATAGGAAAAGATAATCGAGACAAAATATTTGATATAATATATTTTTGTTATAGATTCTTTGGACTGCTCTCTCTGTTGCTCTGGGCGTTGAATTGCGAGGAGATTTAGTACGTGGTGTACCATGCATTAAAAAATATCATCAGCTGTTTTGTCCAACTGCCGGAAATACATATCCAATGTAATATTTTATTATATTTTGAATAATATTTTATGTTATATCATAATATGTATTTAATATATATAACGACATATATTTATTTATATATATAATATACGTTTAGCATATAACAGATATTTATTTGACATAAAGGATAAAATATATTAAAAATATTTGAACGTTAACATTATTTGTAAGTTAAAAAGATGCAGAAACTTTGTTCAATAATTATCTATTTCTTTGTGATAAGATGTAAATTTTTTATAAATCTTTACGAAAATTTTAAATTTTTAAAAATGCAAATAAAAGTGGAATAATGAAGAGCAAAAGTAGAATAATCTCAATATTCAGTAAATTAATTGATTTGTTATTTAAAATCAATATAAATAGAAAATATTTAATGCAACAATTGCTTTCGTTGTATTTATATACTTAGTTTTAATTTGGAAAAATTGAATTTTTTCATTTTTGTATAATTGCACCTCTCATTATTATGTTATATTTACGTTTTGTTGTGTTTCCTAATATTTTTCTTTTTATTTTGTTATATCTTAAATATCTTTTAGGAAATTACAGTGGTTCACGAAAGTATACTGAAAGAACTTTTACGTGTGTGTTATATAAAAGATTTAAATTATAATTAAATTATAATTAATATAATTAATAAACTTAGATTATAATTAATAGAATGAAATGTCATGATTATATTAGTAAAATTTAAAGTCACTCGGACAGTTTAAGATTAAACTATAAGAGTTACAGTTTATTGCAAATATATATTTGGTAGAAAATTAATATATACATATCATGAGTAACTTTCTTAAACGTATGATATATTAAAAATAAAATATTTTGTATATGAATATTTTTTTATATATGTATATTCATAAAAAAAATTCCTATACGTGTTTAAAATATTTAAATATCTTCGTCACCAGCTGTATATTAGATTTTCTATGCAATAATGTTCCTTTTATTGCAGCATATATATTCGTATTAAAAATTTTAGTTTAAGTTTAGTATTCGTAGGATAATAAAACTGAGACAATAAATTATTTTTAGAGAACGGATAGAACGTTTTATTGATGAAAATAAGGCATTAATGAAGAGAATGTACGGTGACTTCGAAATGAGTTCAGGATACGGCTCCCCGACGAGAGAACCCGGTCATCGAACACGTAGAAGAAGAAAAAGCAGGGAAGCTACAGAACACGATATTCCTGATGGTGGTCCTAGTTTTCGTGACGAATTGCATCCGGAAATGGTAGCTGATGGTGATTCATTCTTCGCTAATGTCAGAAGGATCAGAAATCCCCGACAATCTCCTGGAAAAAATCGGAACGATAGTGGCAGGTACTTCCTTTGAGAACTCGAATTTATAGCGTCGTTAAAAATCACTAATGACTGAATATCGCTTTTCAGTAGCGTAATAATTCAACTTGATTTCACCTTTATCTGTTGATGCATTTTTCTACAGTTTTCATTTTTTTTTTTCCTGACTATGTATACAAGTAATGTCGTTCGAAACTACATTAAGAAATTATAACATACTTAATGGAAGACATTTCGCGTAAAACAAGTCGCCGAAATACCTCGACTGTCATTAGTGGTAGAAAAAAATGCATCAGACTAAACTTGCTTTGTTGATCTTTTCTTAATTTGATTTTGATAATTAGCTTTGCGGATTTTATGCATTTCTTAAATGCGAATTTTTTTTATGCATTTGAAAATTGTTGTGAACATCGTTAAAGAAATAGAAACTAAAAAAAATTTATTTTAGATATTGTATGTTTTTGCAACTCCAAATTTTTTATAAATGCATATAAATTCGCATTCTAGTAATTAGTTTTTTATTTTGTAAATAAATGTATAGAGATGATATACCTTCAAAGATAGAGAAAAAAACAAAACAGTTATATTGGACATTATTTGAATAAAATATTTAAAAAATGATTATTTAAATAATCTTATTCGATTTGATGTTATCTTGAAATAATCTCATGTTAATTAATTTTATCATTCTTTAAATTATTTCATTATTTTATTATCAAATAAAATAATTTTTTAAATTATTATTAGATACCAAAGTAATTTCTTAAACAATTTCTAAGTTTATTGAGTAAAACTTCACCTTGTGCTATAATTATTTTATTTCAACGAATTGCTATTTAATTTAATGCACTCTCTGCTATTTTAATATTCTTAAACTTAATCTTATTTTTTAAATCTATTTCACTAAATAAAATATAAAAGCATAAAAATAATTGACAGTTGGTAATCATTAATAACCAAAGATAAAAAGAAAAGATTATTTGTAAATGATTTTTTTGATTTGAACTCATCAGAGATAAAGTACTTTTCCTACGCTATTTTTAAAATTATATTTCGAATTACACATTACCTTTTATTTTCATTTCAAACAGTCCAACCCTGAAGAATAAACATTAATTTTTATTTTTCACAACAAATACAAATATTAAGTATCATATTAAGTGATACAATATATTTCAGAGTTGATGCATGTGAATCTAAAGTGGAAATTGTAACTCCTTATTGGGCCAGCAATAGTGCTGGCAAAATTCGTGCCATTGTGAACACACAACATTTTGAGCAGGCCATTCACCAGGAAGTTTGCTCGTAAGTGCCTTTTTTTTTTCGTAATTTTATACAGAACCAAGACATTCTTTAAAAAGTTTTCTCTTTTAGGAAAACTCAGACAAACCGTTGTACTGGAGATTGTGGTTGCGAACAGAAATACAAATGGCACAGATTGCTTGCGTACGATCCTGACAATGATTGCAAAGGTATCTTTATGGACTGGTTCCTTTTCCCGTCTTGCTGCGTCTGCAGATGCGACCCGATTACCAATAAATTTTCCTCCTCGAACAATCGAAATTAAACTTTATTTACCTTTTTTACAAATAAGAGCTTCTTAAGAAATTAGGAATAGATGTGGATTTTTATGCATTTATGAAACATTTAACTTTTAACTGTTACCATCTATTAAATGCCATCGAGGCCATAAAAATTAATTTTGGAATTTTTGAGTTGATTTAATTTTATTTTTATCTCCATCCAGGAAAAATATAAAATCAAATAACTTAAATTTTAGTAAATATACATTGTTGTACTTACCTATGACCCCATGATTTAAAACCTACAGGATTAAAACTGTAAAAGTATATGGAACACATCTAACTTACACTTTATACTTATCGTAGTTTATTTTTATTGTCTACTAGCCTCTATATTGCTGTTGAATTTTGATTATGCTCTTTAATATTTTTTTCTCTCCTTTTTTTTGTTCCGCATGTTGTATATTTTTTAAAAAAGAACGGATTTTATTCCGTAGAAATAAATGAATTAAATAATATAAAAAAATATCTAAAATATCCAAAATATGATATTTATTATGATATTTGGTTATATTGATAAAAATTGTTGATCTACATAAACATTCATAGTCTATTAAATTATAATTACATAAAAAGCTGAAATATTGTACCAAACGAAATTTCCTTTGAAAGAAAATTGAATTTTATATAGAGAAACTATCAACAATGCTGTCGTTTCAGTAAAATATGTTTTTAGAATTTTATTAATTAAACATAATAAATATATAATTAAGTATATTCTGTCGTTAAGAAAAATCTCCTTATCTATAAATGTAGTACATATTATTATGGAATAGAAAGAATTTGGAAGAATTTCTGTTATTCCCTTCCTACTCAGGAGCATTTCTCCTTTATCTTAGATTATTAGGAATTAAATGAACAAATAAAATAGCTTAGAATATTTATTATTAATATTTACAATATTTCTTTCTAGCGCAACTTGAAAAATAAATCTGTTACATCATTGGTAATCTATTGTTCCATTGTTTATAAAAGAGTACTTATCGATGATACTTGATATGTAAGCTACGAATATTTATGCATTTATAAATAACATAATACACGTGTAAAATTGCCAAGCGCTAGTAATAATATTTAATACGTAAAAAATACATACTTAAGTTTGGTATCTTCAGTGAGTACATAAAAATTTGTACTTACATAAATATTTACAGTCTAATCATATCATACATTATATCGATGATTAAGTACAATTTTTTATTATTTTTTATTTAACGATTTATTAAGTATCGATTAGTAGTATAAAATTGATAGAAATAATTAACAAAGGGCAGCAAAAACTAGAGTGCAGATATAATATCTGCATATTATTTACAATATTAGTTTAAAATTATAAACAAGTCAAAAATAAATATAAATGAAGGGTTTCACGTGATTATTTGAATTATAAAAAATCTTTTGTAAACATTATTTTATTCTTATTTGACAATATGTGTAAATTAATATACACATAATATGTTCAGTTTAAACGTATACTATTGAAAATATTTAAAAATATTTGATTTTCTAAAAGAAACCTAAAGAAGTATCTGTATACTTTTTTTTACTTATTATTTAGAAAAATTGATGCAATATACAATAAGTATATTGAAATAATAATTTACGATAAACACATTTTTAAATTTTATTTATAACGTATCATGTTTGAGGTATAAAACATTTCTGTTTTCATGACTTTTTTTAAATGGTATAATTTTAGCGTCTTATACAGTTTATATTTTGTATAATTTATTAAACGTTATGTTTTTGATAATCTTTTTATAAATTTTTGCAATAAATCAAATATCCATTATCTCAAAGAAACATAAAGTTCTTTAGGAATAAATAATATATTATTAACCCATTAAAAACCAAAATGTTACATTATAATAGTATTTTGTTTATAATTCTCTTCAAACTTATCTTACGAGATTTTATAATATTTTTTATGAAAAGAAATTCCAAGAATTCACTTAATATTTTTTCATTATTATGTTCTTTATCAAAATTCTATGATTTTCTGAAATTTTAAGAAAATTTATACTAGTATGATAAATTATTGTTTGTTTTATAATTCTTTGAGTATTTAATGCTCATATAAATAGTCTTCTAATTAATAATAAAATAATTGATTCACTTATTAAAGATTCAAAGACGATAGCATATAATATATAATATAATAGTTTAATATATTTAATGTATTTAATAAATACGTAAGTATATCAAAAGGTATATATAAAGATGAATATTTTTAAATTTATGTTTATCTAGTAATTTTAAATACTCAAAGAGTTAATAAGTTAATATATATTTTATGTTGTTATTGAATCACAACAACACTATAGAAAGTACGCAATTTTAATATTTCGATTGTAACTGCTTTTGAAGTAAAAGCATATTGATCCGTTAATTCGAATCCTTCTTTCGTATCTATGAGCAAAAGAAAAGCTAGTTAATATTTATCATTTATTTTTCATAATTACAACAAATTATTGTTTAAACACATTTAGTATATACCATTGAATTTGTCTTGAAGTGTGCAAGAAAATGACAACAATATATGTATAATAAGTATATATATTAAATTACATTAATATTAAAATCTTCATAAATAATGATTTATAAAAATTCATATTTGTATATTCTAAATAACAACATAAAAAGTATAAAAAAATTTTTACATTTTCATTACATATATTGCATTTAAACTATACATATTGTACGTATGTATATCTAATAAATATATCTTAATATTGTAATTAAAAGTTCTATTTGTATTCGTTTGCATTCGCTGCTATTTATTTTAATCTTTTTTGCACTTAAAATTATAATTAAGTCACAAATTAATAATTCTAATAATTCTGTGCAAAAATATCTTTGTATATAAATATTTTATCGTGAACATTATTTAATAATGCAAGTAATGATGCACCAAATACTGTTACAGTAATAAGCAACAGCATCTAATAGAACAATAACATTTGAAACAGCAAAAAACGTATAATTTTATAATAAACGTTTTGAATGCAACAAAGAATGACATTTATAATAATGAAGAATTTTGTTCATTTTGAATATTAATACGTTTTAACAAAACAAAATCTTAACGTGCGACATTTTTATAAATAATATGCAGTTGTCCTTTAATTTTATTTTATCGGCAATTTTATCGCTATAACCTTTCTCTCACTGACATACTTGATGCCCACGAATCAATTTAAAGCAACATTTAAATTTTGCTAAAAAACAGGAAAAACTTGTTTCATGATACCTTTTTATATAGTAGGCGAGATAATTAATTTCGAATAAAGAGGCTTCTCTGCAAACTTCCGTCCTTGTCGACATTTTTCTCTCTTTCTTAAAATAATTGTAAGTACATAAATAAGTGTGCGATTTTTTACATAAACGATTATCCTCTTATTTTAATTTGCAACAGGAAAGAAAATATAAATTTCAAAAATTTATATCTCTATTTTTTAAGCATAAGCAGATCACTATTCATATTTCATTACTTCTTCTAGAATATACCTTTGAAGTCAATTTTAATTTTAAGTTAAACTTGTTACCATAAAATCTATATTAAAAATCTATATTAAATATTTTGCGTAAATTAATCTTTAAGTTATAATTAAGTTGTTACTATAATCTATATTATAATATAGCATATTTAATATAGCATATTGCATATTTATAGTAATATTATAATAAAGAAAATTTATAGTATATTGCGTATAAATGTAATTACATAAAGTATTAGAATAAGAATGAAAAATATTTATTAAGTTATATACATGAATTAAAAACAATGAAATCCAAACATTATGTACACGTTATATTCCTATGTTTAGTAAAATAGAATTTTGTACATATGCAAAGTAAATTTTAATTATTATTAATATATCCTTCTCTTTTAAAGAAATTCATAGAGTTTCTTGAAGAAATAGGTTCTCGAACTCATCTTATTTACGGCAGATATACCAGCAACGTTGAAAACGAAAACTTATTCCTTTGCATGTACATCTATATTATATTCACGAATAAAAATATTAAAGAAGCAATAATAAACCTACAAAATCACCTATAAAATATAGAGAGTCGAATTAGAGAGCAGTAAAAAGTGTTCACATATTACATAGAAAAAAAGCAACTCCTAAAATTAAATTAGTCAATCAAAATTTAACAAGAAACTTCTATTAAATATCTCGAGCTATATTCAAACTAAAAGTTGAACTGAAAAAAACATATACAATAAAAAATTAAACACAAGACCAGAAAATCCATATATTAGCTTACAGCAAGAAAATTTAAAACCAATTTGGACATATGGAATATAAATTTAAAGCATGACAGCTCAAATATTTAAAAAATTTCAATAATCGATATAAGATCCACTCTACTAAATGCACTAAGAACATTAGAAATTCCGACAGTTGAAAACAAACTTACAAAATTATCTAATGCACATTAAAATAGAATAATTAAACATATATGTAAATCCTCTTGCTATAAACAATTATACAGACCTTCCTAAAAAAAACTCAAATGAAAATATCCTTTTAATCTAGTCACTTTCAACTATTGTAGACAACACATGCAGTAAATAAAATAACAAAAGAACTATTTTTCTTAATATTGTGAAAAATGGGCTTATGTAATACTTTATAACAAATTAAGAACAGAATGTAGCTTTATTGAAATAAAGTAAAAGAATAGTAATTATGATAACAAAATTTAAAAGAAAAATTTCTTTCAATAACTAATGGTAACATAACGAATAATCAAATGCTATTATTTACTTGTGATATGAAAATTAACTTTTATTTTGAATGTTTGTAAATAAAATAATTATTAATAAAATAAACTCATCAATAAAATACTATTTTTATAATAAATTCTTTTTTCTTCATTTTGAACTTACGTTATTCACCAATTGTAATGTAATACTTAAGTGTAGCAATAAACAGGAATATTTAAATGAAGAAAACAAGGAAACTAAACTTAAATTCAGATTAGGCAACATTAATATATGTTACAAAAAAACGTTATATCTTACCTTCGTAAAAACTTATGTTTGTAATTCTTAAGAAAGTGAATTATTATTAATAACATATGGCTTTAAGAATATATTTAATAATATTCTTATTACTGACTATTACATATAGCACGGTATGACTTTATATTATTTTTTTACGGAAGACGTGCATTCTATGTAAAAAATTAAAACTTACCTTCACAGTTTATAAATGAATTATTAAAGATGTCATTTTAGCAACATATTTCATCGATAACTTGTGTGTATTAAAATCTACGAAGTTGATATTTCAACTTACATAATAATCTTTATATTATATAAATAAATTCTGTATAATTGGTTAGTTTAAAGAATTTCATTTTGTCTTATGCTACTATTTAGAGTAAATATGTCTTAATACAACTTATATATTAATACATTGTAATACATTTAAAGAAAATACGAAAGTTTCGTTATTCAATAACGTTTTTATTTTCATAACATAAATTATTATAACGCATAATTTGTGATCTTTTAAAGAATAAAAGAGGATGAAAATAAAATAAGAAAATAAGATAATAAGATATAAGATATAATTTTTCGTCTTTTTAAATTTATCATGACGAAATATGTGTTTATTTTGTATTTAATATGAAATAAAAATATTTCATATTAAATACAAAATAAACATACAAACCAAAGATTTAGATAAAAAAGTGTTCAGATACAATAAATTTAATCATTTTTATAAATTACATGAGATAAAAAGATTACGTTTTATCCTAACAATAAAAAAGGGGATGAATAACAAAAGCAAATTTATTCAGAATGAGAAGCGCAGTCTAATCTACAAGTCTAATAAAATAATAGAATTTCAGTGACACATAAAAAATGCTAACTTAATCAAACATTCGCCGAACGCGAAATGAAAGAAAAATTTCGTATTATCCTATATATTGGACGGAGATCTGATAAGTTAATTTTTTTCACTTGTTAATTATTTTTCATCTTAAAATAATATCATAGCAAGACAAATTGGCAAAGCAAGAATGAAAAAACAAACAGCGATAAAGCTTAAACCAAATAAAACAAAAGAAAAAAATTTATCTACAGACTTTCGTGGAATACGAATTATATATATATATATATTTCAATTAATGATTAAAGAATTTTACTAATCGTGACGTGAAAGTATAATCGTGGCAGGCTGTAATTGTGAAATAATTCGAATGAATAATTCTTTATTGTACAATCACGTCACACCTGTAAAAATTTATATACACAAATTATACAAGAATATCATAATTTTATTTAGAGTAGTTGTTTTTTTTTTTTTACGAAAATATCGTAATTAAATAGATCATTAGATTAAGTAAAGCTTTCAGCAGAGTGACGCAACTACCGTAATATATGTTAACCGTTCTATTTAGTATGCGACTAATGAGGTACGCCTAACTATAAAACCTTAACAAACTTGGACGATTACGTGGAACCAATATGACACCATTTATTACGCTAATAAGATTTAAAATTGTCTTACTCTTCAAGGACAAGCAATTTTACAAATGATTGATAATTTAACCAAATTGTTATTATAGCACGAAAAAATCATAAGAAGAGCATGAAAATAATCTTTTTAAAATAAAATTTACATATTCAATCAATTTATATTTATTTAAGTTTTATTTAATACAATAAAACTATATTTAGCGAAAATACTAATCACGTTTGAATTCAAGATTATTTAAATGGCGCTCTTTCAAATAATTGTTGAGTTTAAAAATAATAGATTTTATTTTATCGGTTAGAATCTCGCTATGTTAAAGGAAATTGTATTTCGATTGGAGGGAACGGTAGCTGACAATGCCTAGCGCAATGATGAACAGCGATTGCGTAATTGAAGTGCCTGTCGCGGAATTGCAGAGGTCAGTGCTACAAATATGGCAGGATTCGATTACGTTTCGACCTGAAATTACTGAGCCGCTGCAAGGACCATCGACGATGTCTACCTCATCAACGTTAGGAGTAGAACACTGGCGAATCACTACTCGCTCGCCATTTTCTGTAAGAAAAAATATTCATTCGAATTCTAATTTAACTAATTTAATATCTTGAGACACAGGATTTTAAAACAAAAAATGACCTTACGTACACAAAAATTGTTTCTGTTTATAAAATGTGATAAAACAGTTTTACTTTAATTATTTTAATTTGGAAAATTTCACGATTTAAGAATGGTATGTAAGTTTAAGCACTAAAATTGGGACATTTTTTTGTACTACCACACCTCAAAGAAATAACAGTCTAGCTGATTAAACTGAATATTTAATATTTAAATTTTAGGACATTATATTTAAATATATATAAGTCATTAGAAAAACAAAAATACAATTTTGTATTTTATTATTAAATTTGTAAGAATTCTTCTAAATTATTTACACAAATCTATATGTTTAATACAAGATTAAATATTCATTATATCAATAGTTTTTTAATTTGTATACTTATTAATTAAAACATATGAATATTTTATAATGAAATAAATTTGAAAAATTCACATTTTCAAGTAAGCAAAAGAGATTCTTGTTTAATAGATTTTAGTCTATTAGTAGTATAATTATTAATGATTTAAATGTTACTGTGAATATTATGAATATCGCCGAAGAATTGTAGAAATTCAATTAAACTATAAAGCCATGAATTTTATAACTAATTCTTTTTTTAAATAAATATAAATTTATTTGATAAATCATATTAATCTTAACTAAATATTTAATCTAACTAAACATTTTTTACAAATAAAAATATCTTTTTCATTGTTGAATCATCTCGATATATGAATCATTGTTCAAAGAAGCAATTAGTGACATTCTGATGGAACATCAATATCGACAGTAAGTCACATTGCGAATTGTATTGTTTGACTATAGGAACATTTTATTTAAAATGTTGAAAAATTTATTTTTATTTTAATCTTCACAATTGTCAACATTAAATAGTCAATCGAATTAAATAGCTATTATAAAAAAAATTAAATAGTCAATCGAATTAAATAGCTATTATAAAAAAATCATTTTAATTAATAGAAAGATGAATAAAAAAAGTTATCAGATATTTTTCAATTAATATTTAATAGTGCATTTCTTCAAATTTCTTTAAAATAAATAATTAGAAATTACTAATTAATAATTAAAATTATTAAAATAAAATTAATAATTAATTTTAAAATAATTAAATAATTTAATTTTAAAATAAAATTGGTAATTAAAAATTACACAATTTAAAGAGCAAGATGAAAGCAAAGTATGTTTAGATGCATTTTATCATTTCAAAGTAGCGAAGTATTTCACAATGACCTACGAGGTATTTCATTTAAACCAATTATTAATAATTTTGAAAAATATTTTAAATAAAAGTTGAATGATTTCAAAGTACAATTTTTACATATGTGTATATGTGAATACTCAATAAATACAAGTCAATTTTTATTTTTAATAAAAACATACAGATAATCAATATATAATGAGATAATCCGTATTCAAAATGGAATTATATTTAATAAGAATAATAAATAACAAGAATAACAATGATTGTTTAATATTGATTAAAAAAAATTTAATTACTAATTGTCATAATATGTTCCCATAGTCAAATATAAAGTTATTCATTGTCACATACATATATATACATACTAATCTTACATAAACTTTCTTTTATACGCCATATTTTTTTAATATGCAATATTAAGTGTTACTCCTGTGAATATTTATAAAAAAAGTGTTGAGTTATTCATATGAAGAAAAAACTAGTTGGAAGTTGTAATAATTTACAACACGTGTATTTATACCTTTTGAAATGTAACTTTTTACAATACAACAATATTGTTTCATACATGATTTTCTTTGTTGAACAGGATAACGGAAGTAATGAATTTGCTTATCAATGAACATTTCCATCTTTTGAAGTTATTGTAAAGATCTCTAAAAACTTTTAAACTTAAAATAGAATAGAATAGAACTTATTCGTCTCATACATCAAATTATGTACCCCTCGAAACCATTCAACTTTTGTTTGAAATATGTTTCGGTATTATTAACAATTTCGAAAATATTTGCAATGATTGATTGAAAAGAGACATCCCATATACTGATCAATTCTAAATAATATGGAATTACAAAATTATTAGTTTCCGATTGCAAGATGATATTAAAGCAAATTATTGCCAGCTGTACATATAGAAGTAACATTTGCGTACTGCATAACAGAATCTAAGCAGAAACAAACATAGTAGACACATGAATAATTTCCGGTTGGCATATGTATGTACAATAACCAAGTATGCTATGTCTAATGTTTCCCTTTGTGTTTATGTTGGAATGAAGTATTGTTTGAATGATTCAGTGCAACAGCTTATATAACGTGCGTGATTCAACGTATACCAAGAACTTCCGGAAATAATTACGACACTGCACATTCAAATGAAATCAGATTTCTTTATAAAATACTTAAGATTGGAATCTAATACAAGCAAAGGACTTTAATGGTGCGAAAATGATATTTCTATATCTATGATACGAAAAGGATTTTAATGGTGCGAAAATGATATTTTTATATCTATGATACGAAAAGGATTTTAATGGTGCGAAAATGATATTTTTATATCTATGATACGAGATACAACTAGGAAATTCTTTATGTAATTAGCAAAATCGATGTGATCTCAACTTTGAAATATTATAAATGAACAAATTAATTTTTTATGCATTCTACTTTCTCAACTATTATACTTTAATCAAATTTTTTTTTTTTAAGTTTACAAACCTAATTTACATTACTTACAAATATTGCATAATAAAAATCTTATATTTTGTAATCTTGTAAATTTTTATAAAGAATATAAAAGATGTTGTTATTATATGAAGTCTTTAAAACAAATCATATATTTTTTATCTTTCTTTTTTAAATAACTTTTTTAATAACTTTTAATAACTTTTTCAATAAATTTCTCATAAATGTCGTTGTGAAACGTTATGACCAATAAATATGTTCATTTTGCGTTTTACAGAGTTATGCGAATTTTATTAATCTTTCTTTTACCATATCTACATGTAAGAATGTTATCAATCCTAAGATTCCAGTCACGTTAATACGATTAACTTCAATATTCATGATTCTACGTCAACAAGTGATTTTTCTTTGACGCGGGTGCGGTTTTGACCTTGGCAACATACAATTATCGCAATTATGGTATAGGAGCATGTGCCGTGACTCATAGTGCACGGTATATCGTAGTGATCAACTTGAAGACGATGATCACCGGATTATGCTAATGTTTAATTCCACGCAATATTCGTATACGTCATCCCGTGTGAGAATCATTCTTAATTGAGTGATACATGACTGAGCAGGATATCTTAAAATATGATCACATTCGTACAAATATATATGGACAAACAATTCTTTTTATGTTCATATGGCAATCATATTTGTTTACATTCATAATGTGAATCCGTATGAATTTTCAGTGTGAAAAAGATTTCCGCTGACTGTTTGGTTGTTACAAGAAATTATATTACACAATTGTGTGTAAAGTATATTTAGTTGAGAAAATAATATTTATTTATACATGTAAATCAATAGTTATTGTAATGCTACATTGTAATAAAAGTTATGAAATTTTAAATTTCAATTCTACTATATTAAGTTATTAATTTGAATAATTATTTCATTGTTGTGAATTAGTTTTGAAAGAAAATTAATTACTTTGGTCAAACACATTTGTTAATTACAAAATATACGGAGGTGATTTTATATATTACGAAATATATTTATGTAAAATAAGGAAAAATTATCTATGTAGAACATAGAAAAAATCTAAATTAAGCTAAATATATCAATAATTAATTATAAGACAAAATTTTCTATGATCCATCGAATATGTCAATGTGAAGTGTGAAAAATATGAAGTATTTTATTAATATAATTCTAATATTAAATATAAAGTAATTAAATATTTAATAACATAAAATAACGATAAATCTGAATAACACACATATCAAACAAAAATGTACCTAAATTAAATTACTTTTAAAATTGAAAATATAATTGAAAATTATATTATTACATTTATGTTATAAAATTATATAACTGTAGCAAAAAATATATTATTTTAAAACAATATTAGTAAAAATAAACAAGAATATGTCATTTTTCAAATCATTTACCTCTTCTCACGATCTTCCGGCATATATGTTTTGACGGTTCGTAAGATCCAGTTTCGCATATTTTCGAATGGAATAATGTTTGATGCTCCGTGATATTTAGTGGATCACCACACAGTATGTTCGTGTTGGAAGCGCAATCCCAGCATCGTAAAGCTAAACCTATTACATATATATGTATTATTAATTACTAATAAGTATATTAAATATATTAAAATATATTATTAAAAAGATTTTGCTATGTCACATCTTTTACCACATTAAATTTTAAACATGAATCTTTAATGCCCGTACAACATTTAATTAAATAAAACTTGAACTATTTTCGAATTTATAGCTTAATTTTTAATTTAGTAATTTTAATAGTATTTAAATGATTTTTTTTTTTGGTATTTTCCTCTAATTTTATGAAATGTTTTGCTGATTGATCTCCCTTTTATACATGTATTATTGCAGTAAATAATGGAGTACATGAAAATGGAATTGTTATACACAATTTGTATTGTCATCGATATTTATAAATTATACGTATATATAAATAATTTAGTCATTTACTATAAAATAAAATATAAAATAAAACACTGCGCATAACTTCACTTTGTTGTTTCATTCTGTTTAAATAATTAAAATTATTTCTAACAATAATACAAATTTATTGAACCATTGCAATAAATTATTAAAGAATCACATGTACAAATGCAATTAAAGAATAATTCAAATATACAAAACATTAACACATTACAATGGCAGTTAATATAAATTAATTATATATTATTAATAATTAATATATTATATTAATATTTTGTTTTAATTAATTTATATTGATTTTATTGTACAAATATACACCTATTAATTGATACTGATTAATATTATACTTTACATCTATTCCAATTTTATTTTACTTTCGATATCACAGTATGACATATTAAAAACAAATAGCAACGATAGACGACTTAATACATCTGATAAGACGATAACAATGGGTCGTTAACAAAAAAACAAAAACAATAATTAAAGTTGTAAGTAGAACAAGCGAGCTAACAAGAAAGGTAATGCTTGAATTTAATGAGTAAATGACGTAATATTCTACCATAAAGGTTTTACATACATATTTTGACCATTAACTGAATAAATCATTATCTTTGTTATTCAATATTAATTTACAAACTTCACTTGATAACGCAGTAATTTTCTCGAAAATTTTTAATTTTTTCACAAAAAAGATTTTTTTATAGAAATTAGTGCATTTATTCTTCCTTTCTTATTTTTCAAAATTATAATTTGTACAAGTCTTTTCTAGTTCCTCTTCCCCCAAATATAGGTATTAGTTTCATATTTTACTTATTAATTTCAAATTACTTTTTAATTTTAAACTACAACAATAAATTACTAGATAATCATATATATAATTAAAGAATAATGCAATACACGAAACATTAACTTATTTATATAATAAAATATTGAAAATATATTATTCTAAGATAATTTTAGAAAGCATAGCAATAAATTATTAGACAATTATACAATATACAAATTAAAAAAAAGTGCAAATATACAAAATATTACTTACGTCAAAATATTTATGTATGTATTACTTTAGATGTTATTAATATTGTGATAACATAAATTTATCAATGTCTAGTGACAACATAAATTTATTAAACCATTGCAATAGAATATTGTAACTGAAGAATAGTATAAAACATTTATATATCAAATTATCGAAGACGTATTATTCCACATGTTATTAAGCAACTTACCCGATTGTGCCAAGACAACCAGACCGAAGATGACCAACATCCATGTTACTCGGAAGAACATGTTGATCAGTTACTTTCAAGATCTAAATAGTTTCCGATTCAATTTAATTGACACCGAGTAATATACGAGCGCTTAATACGTTAAAGGCAATACCATGCGAGTCCAGAAATAGACAGAGAGAAACTGGTAGCGTCACGGAACGTGTTCACTTCGTTACTGAAGAGGCAACACCCCCTTTTTGCCGAGAGTCGACAACATGCACGCGGTCTCCTTCTCCCTTCATCCCTCCCTTCTTCGAGTTTTTCCTCGCTTCTCAGGGCACACGGTTAGTATGGTCCGGTCCAATAACATAATAATCCTGTAACCCCTCCGTGGATCGTGCAACCGCGACAAAGTAGGAGTCAAGAACAAACAACTAAAGAAGTCTTTTAACAGAACACAACAGGCGAAACAGTAATTATAGTATAAGAGCAGGAGGGAGAAGGAAAGAGAAAACAACATTACTCGGGGCCCTCATTGGACTCATTAGGACAATTACGGACCTGTTAAACGCTCTCTAGGGTCTTTCGAGGTTTACCATGGAAACTGGAATACACAATTGCTTAGAATTTGCTGATTGTCAGATTGAGATAAAGAAAATCTGAACAAATTATATTAAATAAACTGAATATTTTCTATTATTAAATGTTTGAGAGCAATAATGCCTTAATGCTATTAATTGACGAATCCAATAAGTATAAAAAATGAGATCTTTATTCTTAATTCACAGTACACAGTAAAATACAAAGATAATAATTTTAATTACATACAAAAATTCTATTGCAACACTACTTTTCATAAAAATCTTAATATTTTATAACACAATATTATGTATTCTTTTTTACACTATGCTTTTCATTTCTTTAAAATAATTAAAATAAATTCTAATTAGTAATAAAGTTTAATTAAGTTCTATTTAGTTGATCTTTAAATAGTATCCTGATGTCAGAAATAACTATATTATATTACAAAAATTTAATTTTATGTTACATTTTATGTTCTTTCTGATAGAAATTAGTTATAAAATCAAATCAAATTAAAAATTTCAAAATTATACGTAATGTAAAATCCTAAATTATTATAGCTTCCAATATCCAATAAGGGTTAAATTTTAATCAGTGATTAAATTATATTAATTAGAATAAATGAAATTCTTAATATATTGAAATTAAAAACAAATTAAATTTAAAGACTTCAATCTTGTTGCGAAAACTTTATGTGAATATTTATTCTAGTTAAATTGAAAATTAGCAAATTTTATCGAACCAACAAAAAAAAATACATACTCGAATTGGTTCCAGATGTTAAACGGTAGGATTGCAAAGTGAACTTGCCGACTCGTTAAGAAAGACTTGTCAGGGGTCAGGAGACCATTTAACCCTGCGTGACATTACCGAATTGACTCAAGCATTTGACCCTTCTCTTCACCCAGATGCGTCTATACGTAAATATGTGTGTATCCACGCATACATGATTTCGTAGGTATTACATGGTTAGAACTTACTATCATCGATACAAAGGTTACATCGACTGGACTGTCTCCCTATTCATTCATAAGACCATTTAATTTCTGACTTGAAAGCCAACAGCCTTTTCCGGTCAATCAACATCTTCTCTTTCATTAACAAAATGCATACAATATAAAAGCCAAAGAAAAAGTGATTTCTTATGCATATTTGTTATTTGGGAAACTTACTCATAGAGTAGGAAAAATGAAATAGACATAAGTTTCTGTAACATCTTTTTACAAATATAAAAATGTTTCAAAATCTTCATAAAGTTATATAAAAATTCTTTATACAAAACATTATAAATACATAAAATATATGATAAAAGAAGTTTATCGTTAATGCTATAGTAATTTTGTTACTTGACTATATCATTAGTAAGATGATGCAAATATTATAAACTATTGCGATTGGGATTATTATTTCAAAATAACGTAAAACACGTAGATAAATAAAAGTTTTGTGACAAGTACTATGTAAGTTTTAAAACTGAAAAAATTAAATAATATTTTGTACACCAAAGAATATATTAAGAATATATATTAATATATTGATAATTATATACATACAATTTAAAAATTTTATTATCGATAAATATTGAATATTTTCTTTTCTTCGGTAGATTCACAAATACAGAAAGATTCACAGATACAATACGATTTTGAATATTTACCATAGTAATTTATGAATTTTCGCATTTACGAATCGTATGTATTTTGTAAAAGTTTTTCAAACTTCATTATTATATACTATAATGTGAAGCAAATATTAATATCAAACTACAAATATGTTTAAGTATAAATAGTATGTTTAAGTATAAATAGTAAGAAATATAAATCGTTTATCGCAAATATATTTAGCAAAACATCAATGCACATTATGAATAGAGTCTTAAACATATGTATAATACTAAACATGATTCCATTGAATATACTGGCTTATTAATATAATGGATGTTTTTTCAAGAGATACTGTAATAGCATATAATTTCTGCATACAATGTATTTAATCAAGATATATCACATAATACTATCCATTTATATTATATTATATTATATTATATTAGATATTCATATATCTTATATATTTTCTTATATATCTATTGATATATATTCATATATTATATATTATATATATCTCATATATTATATAGTATACTATCTGTGTAAATTATATTAATCTGATATTATATCATTTTCACTATGTTATTCTAAATTTATAAGAATTCAGGTTTAAAACTGAAAAATTCTTGGAATAAAATTGTTACAGATGTATTTTAAATAATTTTCACGTTAAAAAATTATTTAGGTGATATAGAATTTCATGATATTTCTTTTTGTATTAGAAAATTAAACAAATAATCTGATTGCTCGTGCTGACCAATATTTAATTATAAATGTTTGTGATATTGAACATATGTAATTTATGATAATTGTACTGTTTTTCAATTTAAGTATTAAAGAACGATAAGATGAAATTTAATAACTGATCAAATTGGCTCGTCAGATTTAAACTTCAAGTGTGCATTTCATGTGCACCTATCTAATAGCATGTGTCATAAATTGTATCATTAATTGTAAGTATAGAACAAATAACTTCAACACCGCAACTTCAATGCCGCTTTTATTAAAAAAAAAAAATGCAATGTAAAGATGCACTTCAATCATCTCTACATAATTATTTTTTAAACATTAAATATTGGCGAAGAATTATTATTTGCATTTATTCTTAAATATAAGGAATATCCATAAGTAATGTCGGTTTTTCAAATTTAATTAACATAACCTATATTTTAGTTAAATATATTGACATTTAGTGCTTATTGTTAAATTTTGAAAAAAATTTGAGTGAACTCTGTAAAAATGAAAGAGCAAAGTGGATAAATTCCATATTAAACATTTGAAAGCTTTGTGAGTTTTGAAAGAATAATGCCACAAATGCCATTATAAACGCTGTTTATTCTAGTATCTTGGATACCAAAACATGTCAGCATTGGTTTAAAAAATTTAAGAACAATGATTTCAATCTTTTTGACAGTACAAAATCTGGAAGACGTTGAGTTTGATAAAGATTTATTGGCTGAAATTGAAGCTGGTCCCAAACAAACCATTCAGAATTAGTCACGAAGCTTAAAATTTCATGGTCCACAATACAACAGTTTAAAACAACTGAACAAAGTGCAAAGAGAAGGAATGTGGGTGCCTCATCAACTTCCAGTTAAAAACAAAATCATTTAACATGTAACCATCTGTAGTGCACTTCTGTCCAAGTTAGACAAAGATCCTTTTCTTAGACAAATTGTTACTGGAAATGAAAAGTGGATTCTATAGAGTAATCCACATAAGAAAGAACAATGGTTGATACCAAGGCAACCATCTTTGCCCACTCCAAAACCAGATCTTCTGTTTAAAAAAGTGTTACTGTCAGTATGGTAGGATTTCACAAGAATCATTCACTGAGGTTTTGAATCCTAATGAAACCATAACTATTGAATATAATTGTGCTCAGTTTGATGGACTAAATATGGCTATTTTTTAGAAACATCCAAGCCTGATTAATCAGGAAAGATGTTATTCTCTAGCATGACAATGGAAGCTCTCATAGTGCCAGAATCACCCCTCTCCCCTTCCCCAAAAAAATCAAGCAGTTAAGCTGAGAAGTACTCCCTTACCCACTGTATTGCTGATATCTGATGCTGCACCATCAGATTACCATCTTTTCAGATCTATGGAACATTTGCTTTGTGGAAAAAAAATTTCCTGCAGCTATCAAAACTGCACTCAAAGAATATTTTACTTCAAAATCATCTTCATTTTACAAAAACAGAATAGAAAGTTTGTCAAAGAGATGGGCGAAGATTAATTCATCAATAACAGTGGATATATTATAGATTAAAACTGTATTAACTCTTAAATAAAATAAAATTTTGTACAGTATCAAAAAACGACATTATTTATGAGTATGCCTTATATTAATTATAGATACACTAAAAGGAGAAAATTAAATACATGAAATTTTTTTCTCCTTCAAATATAACTACATAATTTGAAGAAGACAAATTTAACTATACATTCTACTTCAAAATTCTGAAACATTTTATGTGTCTGTAGAATTGATTATTTTATATGTTGTAAGGATCAAATAAAATTAAAAAATTTTCAATAACGAAATAATTGTAATTTTCTGACTAATATCTTTTCTGTTTCAAGAAGACTGTTATAAAATATAGTTTTTTTGTACAAATTTATCTTCTCGAATCTGTTTTCTTATATATTTATATTTATTCTGCTCTAAAAAAGTAAAAGTTATAACAAATAGATTGTAAAATGTTATAGTGTCTGAATTTGAAACATGAATCGTTCCATAGTTTTATTTATATGTAAATATTTGTATATAAAACATAGGAAAGTTTGGGAAACAATATCTCTTTTAAATATTAATTAAATATTAATGTATAAAGTTAATTTGAAACAGAAAAGAAATGATTTAAAAATTAAAAGTTCAACAAATAACCTATATTTATAACAGTTAACAGTTTTATTCAATTCCTAACAGTAATTTAATATTTCGTGATTGAAATGCTTAGGAATTAAATAAGACATAAAATAAATATTACTGTAAATACAATATTACACCAATCAAAGCAAATATAAATACTAAATTACGTAAAAAGAATATATGAATAGAATTTTGATTGTTACAAGCGTAATTTTTGCAGAAAGAACATGCAACGCTAGATCCCGGAAAATGTTTCTCTGGTTGGCAGTATCCATCGATTTCTCTTGACAATACGCAACCTCGCACTGTCACCAACACGTCCCCATCTACATCATTAAGAAAATAGTTTGTATAGTCACTAGTTTCAAAGTAGCGTTACACATAATTACAGAAACGTGAAACTAAATTAGATGAAAACTAATGTGATAATTTGAAAAGCAACGTTTTTTCATTTATATTATTAATGTTTAATGTTTGATTATTGTTTAATGATCGGTAATTATTTGGAATTAGGTGCACCATGCCGATCTTGAAATATGTCATCAAGGTTATTATTCTGAATAATTTTTCCTTACACGTGTTAGCATTTGATCTTAAGTTTTCAAGATATAATGCAAAAATATTTTTACCACTGTTATTAATACTATTAGTATAAAAGTACTAATATACTTTCAATACTAATGCTTATATTCTAATAATTAATTTAATTAAGTAACGATTTACTATTATGATTACTATTAAGTATACATGTTCTCTACATGCAATTTAATGACACGCACGATTTAATAACAAGGATACTAATCAATTTTATGGCCATATATGAATTCTAGTCTATAATCTATGGATTTATCTTTTTTTATTTATATTAAAGTTGATTAGTATCAATGAATTATATTTAAAGTATATTTAGGTTTAATTAAATTTAACTGAATTTTTTGTAAACCTTTTAACTTTCCAATTTGGTTTCTGAATGTTGTTTCAATATTAAAAAACAATTTTCTATTAGAAAGCATGTTCATTGTACATGTAACAATTAGATATCTATCATGATGGTATTATAATATAACAATCAATTTTAAATTAAAACATTTTATATTGCAGTTAATAAATAATTCATCGAAAAGTGGATATATTCTTGAAAAATGTAGAAGATTTGTACTATTTGCAAAATATACCTATATTAAATATGATTGCGTGATATTCTTATTCGATTTCTTCATAAATCTATTCACAATCTTCATAATTATGATTAAAAACACGATATACGGAACGAATCAAATAAAGTATTTTTTCTGGAACCATTAAAGATATGGATGTTAATTCTTTTTCTAAATAAATTATGTGAAAGATTAGATCTTACGAAAAAGAGAAAAGACTCTTGTTTATAAATTTTTTTTCTTTCTAATAAAATGTTATTTTTATCTATAGATAATAACTTTATTGCTTTTGATATTTCTTTATTCTGCATAATTACAAAATTCACTTTTTTAGTTGAATATCACTTTATTAATATTCAAAATAATATTCTTGAATTTTTAAACACTTATTAAGTACATCACATATATAGTACATCACTTATATTACATTTAACAATATTTCCTATGTATTTATTTTTATTCTTCCCTTTGATATAAAAATAATTTTTATTATGCTTTAATAATTTATTAAATCACAAAAATAAAATCAAATCATTATTTTAAAATAATTTAAATAATTAATTAAATAATAAATATTTATAGAATACATATAATAATTTTGTAGTTCCTCTTGAATAAAAAATATTTCAAATAAATATTGTTACAACTAATAAAAATTATCTGTATCTTATATCATCTTATATATGTAATAAATTAATGTGTTTGAAATCCTTTGACTACAAAAAAATTCGTTGCAAATAATAAATCATCCAGTTCAAAGGAAAAGAAAAGAATTAGTTATAATCATAAATTATATATCTGTATTGATTTTTGAGAAGATATATTGTTGTATCTTCTTATATATTCTTATATAGAGCAAAATTTATATAATAAATATATATGCAGTTTTTTTTATTTTTTTATGTAGGTATATATATGTACATTCTATTTCGAGTTCACAGTACGACCACTTCTTTATTGATGGCGCCACCTGTAAATATTTGTTACATTCGTTGACGCAGTTACCGGTGCGAAAACGTAATAATAAGATAGAATGTTCCAGTTTTTCCGTAAAAAGATACTAGTATTTTCTGTGAGTATAAGAATAAAAAAGATTCTATATAAATATAAACTCACTAATGCTTTATTAAAAAATAACAATGTGACAGACTTTTTCTTTAGAATAGAAAAAGATATTAGTGACTTTATGTTAAATCTATTTGTATTCAACATGATGAAAAACATTTTCAACAATTTTCAAAATAGTAAAATTTATCACCCGTGAATATTTTGTTTTATTGTGTATTCTCTGAAAAAATAAAAACATATATTTCGAGATTTGGTAAATCAAATCTTATTTAAATATACAGTATACTAGGTAAGACTTTAGAATTGGCTTTCTCAGAAACGAAGTATTAGACAAAAAAATTTTATTCTCTTTTTTCGACTTATTTTTTTGTAATATCGTATATTCGTAAAATCGTTCTATATGAAATTGTACGATCAATTATGAACCACTTTTATACTTCTCATTTGGTTTTAAACTTTTTAAATTTTTAGATTTTTGATAATTTTAAGTAATTTTAAGATTAATATCTTTTAATAATAAATAAAAGTATTCAATAATAAACGTCTTTTAATTATTTTAGTATGTAGATTCATTACTCGAAGTATTGAGACGCATTTAACATTTCGTATTTTTGTTACGAATTTGCATAGAATATTACGTAAAGATTTAAGTCTACATTTGTATAACATCCTTTCTCTTTCTCTTAACATTCGTAAACATAATATTTGTATAACATTTTTTCTTTTATAGATTTTCTTATAGACATTTTTACTAATAAAATACTGGTATTGTTTATAAAAAAATATCGTTTTATAAAAAAAAGAGAAAAGAAGAAAATGAAGATATCCTTTATTTATGTAAATAAATATTTCATATGTGTCTGCAAATGTTATATATGTAATGTTTAGACTAAAGTATTCGCTGTTTAATATGTGGCAGCGTGCGCGAATGTAATAAACGTTAATATAAGCACATTAATACAAGGTATGTATGTATTGTATAGATATGTATATATGTAGATATATATACGTATGTGCAAGTATGGGATGCGTGTACGTAATGAAGGTTGGCGCACGCAAGAGTAATTTACCACTGAATATAAGCACTTTTATACGCACAGTCGATGATGCTTTTAAGACAATGTTGCGACTCGTTTTGAGGACAGAGAACTAAGTCAGAATAAGGTGCTGGAATGTAAGGATCGTTGCATTCTCTTGTATGACCGCTTCTTAGATTGGTATTGCATTGGTAACACCATAGGTTCTCTCCTTTCACGTATTCTGTAAAATAGTTAAATGTTAAAATTAAAGTAAACGTGAAAAGAATTGAAAACTTAGAGGTTAAAAAAATATAGTGTAAATTATTAATTATCACAAATCATTACATGTTAAAAGAATCATAAATTATCACTATTTGCACATCCATGCACAAAGTATTAATAAATATTATAGTCATATCTTACATACGTATTATTACATACGTACAATTATTTTTTATAAGTTGCAGTTTTAAGAAAATTTACATATACGTACCTACTTTATTTTTTATCATCTTTGAAACGTCACTTTTGAAAATAATCACTTATATTTTGGAGAAAAGGAAAAAGAGACATGTTATTTTTAATTAATAAAATTGCTGCATGAAGACTAACAAAATTTTTTTTATGATCATGTCAAAAAACAAATTAATAAGTTAATTATTGATTAAAATTATAACACAATATATAACATGACATAATTAACTAATGCTAATAACAACTTTAAAAGTTTATATCTTGGAAAGGATATATGCAAAAAATAAATATACATGCAATAGATAGTATTTTATTTTTTTGTTATTTAGACGAAAATGTCTTAATGTCAGCTATAATAATATAAGTTTCAATTTAAAAATTCAATGTTGACTTTGCAGTTTTTCTCAAGGTTATCGCAAGTTCAAATAAATTCTATACAATTTTTATTCCAAATATTTTTCATACGTTTCGTCCTCAGAGAAGATATTTGCCCTGGGAGATATAGAACACTCGATATATATTATTAATATATATTAGTATTACCTATATATTATTATTGGGAAATATTTATTCTATGTATTTCGATTTTTCATTAATCAGTAATTTCAGTTTATTTCATGATAATTTGCAAAATCACTCAAATACACAGAAGAAAAAATTCACTTTTCTATCTATTGTAGTATCTATCTATAGTTATTTATCATAGTATACATTACAGTAATTTTTACACACAATTGTAAATGACATTTACTTCAATTGAATACTATTTTCTTTTATACAAATGTATATATTGTTCCTTTCATAAAATAATTTTGTCTATGTTTTAAAGTTTTTTAAATTTTTGGAAAAAATTTGTAAATTTCTACAAAGTACCTTTTTCTCATCATAACATTTATTTTTTTCTACTCGAGCTTATACTATTATAAGTAGTGAGAGATTAATTACTACAGTATTGCTTTGTTAATTACTCGAGATAATACCTTGTTAATTGACCAGAATTCTATTTTGCTGACTGTTATTATCTCTAATAATTCCAGGAATTGCTTCTATAGCATGATGCTTCGGTATGTGCTTATATATGTATGTATATGGTGTGAACGATATATACGATTGATGACCTTTAACTATCCTATTATTTTTTGATAATTAAGAATATCAAAGAAAACAATTTTTCTCAAGATCATATTTATCGAAATGTCAAAGTCATTAATCTTTCAATAACTTGTTTTAATAAATAATAAATAAATTTTTTAACTAATTAATTTAATTATTATTATTAATATACATTATTAAACCATATTTCTAAATTAATTTTTTATAATTTTAATAATAATTATTGTTAAATAATTATAATAATAATATTCAATATGTTTTCTACATGTAATTACATATTATTATTATGGATAATAATAATATCATGAAAACAATTTTAGAGACGTTTAAATTTTTGCAATTTTCGAGAATAAAGTATTTTTTATTTTCTCGATATATATGTAAGTGCACATACAACGTATAATATTTACATACTGTGTTAAAATACATACAATGTTAAAATATTTTGTTAAAATAGAGTTTTTATGCTTTAAATGAGATTAATTTTTACAGAGTTATAACAGTTTAAAATATTTTGTCAAAATAAAGTTTTTAAATAAGATTAAATGAGATTAATTTTTAAATTAATTTTATATGAAATTAATTTTTACAAAATTACAACAGTTTAAAATATCGACAATCTTTCATCATTATGCATCAGTTATGCTTTTTACTACTAAAGTGATCAGATTATTTTATGTAGTAATATATTTACTTTGTATTTAACATATCTCTTACTGTTAATTTCAAATTTCGCTTGCTACTAGTGTTAATTCTCAATAGTTTTTATATGAACATTGAATAATATTGTTTTACTTTATCTTTCTAATATTTCATGCTAAGATTAAATTTTTGGTATAAATTCTCCTATATTTCAATTAATTATTATATTAGTTATTTAGTTCAGTTATAATATCAATTCCCTTTCTCCAACTATTTCCTCTCTCGTTACTCCGTCACTTTTAGTATATATTTTCTCTTATAAGATGAAACAATTATCTTGAATTTTATGTTGAGTGATCAGTTTCATTATTATTTTTTTGACTGAAATTTTTCTCATAAGTAGTCTATTCAAACGTATACATTCCAATCGACTATATATAATTTACGAAGATATTTGAAAATCATAATATGATATATTGTTATCATACTAAATTTAGTTAATAGAGAATAATTAGAAATAGATATAATTAAAAATATATAGTTATCTTGAGAAAAATCATAGCCATTCTAATAAATATCTTATTAAATACAGCATTAATTTTTTTTTGTAAATTTTTAAACTATAATAAGAACTTTAAAATTATAAATAAATTATAAATTTTTCCTCTCATGCCATTAAAAAGAACGATATAGAAATATTCCGTAGTCAAATAATTAATAATTCCTAACTGTAGAATAAATTTATACATTTTTCTAGAAATTATGGATCATACTAATAGATAAAGTAATAAGTAACAATGATTTATAAAATTCACGAAAATTAACGAAAATAAATGTAGGCCTAGATAAGTATTAAAAGGTATAGGTATATATATATGAAAGATTTATTATAATATAATATAATATATCAAATATGTTAATATATTTGACTATAAGTGTTTGTTAAACAGGATTCATTTTCATATTTTCAAAAACATACAGATTTACGTATATATTTACACTGACAAAATTACATATAGATTTACGTATATATTTACACTGACAAAATTACACTGATTAATCCTATGGATTATTTTTCTAACTTAAATTAAATACTTAACTTTTACTTTGTTCTAAATCTCCGTAAATTTCACTTAAATATATCTAACTGTTAACTGGTACACATTATTATATAAGCACATAAAGAAATTACAGAAAAGTTTTTATCAGATAATTTTAGAAAATTCTTATCTTTTAGAACAAAAGTAAATAATATTTACAATTGTTCATTAAATTATAATGAACTTTCAATTTTTTGTTCGCTCGTTATGTTGAAAGGATTTTTTCAATTTTTTTTCAATTAGTATTTATAATAATGCTTGACTACAAAATTTGTTGTTATATTATATTAATATTATTCTAGTATTTGTTAATTGTATAATACTAAATTTAATTGATTGTCATCTGAATTTAACACTTGTCTAAAAATAATATTAAAAATTACTTACCCAAATTTATGAGAATGATTATTATCGGCAAGCTTACTTGTCCAGCCATGTTGGTTCTACCTTGAGAGTTATGTAGGATGCAAATCTTTTTACCTGTTATCTTATCTATGATAATAAAATTCGCTGATTGTAGCAAACATATGCAGATGTTGAACGAAGTATGAAATATACAATTTTCTTTGTGCATATACTAATTTATAAATATTGAAATTATTAAGCAACAATATTTTGCTTGTTGTTGGATCAAATAATTGAATAGTCATCATAAAATTAATATCATTAAAAAATTTTAGAAATTAATTATATTGTTAGACATTTTTTAGTTATATATTTTCCAATTCTTTTTTTTTTAGAATTGAAGTGCACAAACAAGTATAATATATCAATAATAAAACATACTTACTTTACATATTTTTATGTACCCTAAAATTCAGTTAAATAAGAAGTTAATTAGTGCATTGAAGTTTTTGGTTGCTGTACTTTAAATTAAAGGTTATTTTAAAAATGTTGTAATAAACGGTGTATGAATATTATATTTGGCTTCTTTTATGTTTCTTCTCAGTGTTATCATTTTGCTCTACATTTTTCAATGTATAGAGATCAAAATTTTTATTTCTGGTGTATCTTTAATTTTTCTACAAATTGAATTTTTAATGACAAGACAGTATTTCTCTCTCTCTCTCTCTCTCTCTCTCTATATATATATATATATATATATATATATATATATATATATATTTATTTATTGCTCATGACAATTTTCAATAATATCATTTTCAATTATATTCGATCTTATGAAGCTAATAGCGTTCTATGATATAAACATTGGCCAAAATTTCATGTTTTATAAGCTTCTTCTAAGTTTATATAATATAAGTATATAACATATATTTATATGTTGCGCGCTCAATGAATTGAATCGCAAATGCAATTTGATAAATACAATAAACATTCGAATATTTATGACACACATACCATCATCAATACAATCACTATAATGTTTTTTTAGTTGTTAAATATAACAAGTATAGACATGAACTTCTCGAATTCGATGTTATAAAATCTGCTGAACAATTTATTCTAGCCAATTCATGCTTCAACTATACGAAATAGGAAATTACCTGTTTCGTACGAAAAGTATAAATAAAAATTGTATAAAAAGATTAAGAAATACACGGAAAAATAATTTATTCGTTATTCCCAGAGATTGATCTAACAACACTGAATTTCAAATTTGTTTTCTCTTTCTTAGTTCATGCCGCAGGTATCCATTATATGATTCATACTCACGGCATAACGTGGAATATTTATGAACAATGTATATACATACGCATGTGTGTTTTCAAGTTTTAGAATACGCTATCGATTAACGAATAACATGTCTCTGAGGATGATTGCAATCAACACTCCGCAACTTCATATATTATAAAGGTTACGCGTTGTTATAAGAATAGCCCAGAACTAGAACTCCTAGAACGGACAACAGCGTGAGGAAAATTTTTGGCGAAATTGCAATCGAACTGTTGCAAGCGTCCTCCGTGCACAATTCACAGAATTCCAGTTTGTAATTATTGGCAGCTAACATCCCTTCCATCGTTTTGCATGGATCAATGTTCTCTGTCTTTGCTACTTGGCAATTTCTTACTGTGACACTTTGATTATTAGCTATTAAAATAAATAAATAAAAATTCCTTTTCTTACATTTGCTTATAGATAAACGATAATCAAAGCCTGGTGTAGATAAGATTTGCGACAAATTCGTATGTTGTTCAATGGACAAAAATAAAAAAAAAATCAACTTCTATGTTGGCATTTAAGAGCTTTATAGGAATGCTTCTAAATATGTATTAGAAATGTAAATTATGTTGTTAAAACCAACAAACAAGTATTAGCTATGTTTAAATACTTTGCGAGTTAAAAGTTTCTGTTGAAGTTTACTTTCCAATAATTAACCTAGCCTGTTTCATAAAAGTAAAAATTTTTTAGTCATATAAACTGTGTTATTGAAGCTAAATACTTGTCATTTTAATATTTTCTTGTTTTTTTTTTTTTTTTCATTTTCTTTTGAGGTCAAGTTTGAACGCTTTTGATCAATTTAATTAAGCTTTTAAAAAATACTTCTTAAAATTGTTCCATGATTTGGTGAAAACATGCGTATATATATTATGAAAAAGATGATGCAAAAATTAGCCCCCACTTGTTTCTTAATTTTTAATAATTTCTTTTCCAGCGACGACCTATTACGAACAAATCCATTTTCAACATATATATGATTTTCAAAGAAGAAAAAAAGGGAAGTTTTTTTAAATTTCATAGTTTCATTAACTACATACAAGAAAAACTCAAAATACAATAATTTTTTAAAATATGTATAAACAAATAATTGAAACCCAAAATATAATTTCTATTCATAATTTCTATTGACTGAATAGCACATTGTCTGCAAAACAGCAAAAAAAGACTATAATAACACATTTTTAGTAATACGATAATAAATATAATAACAGTTGTTGTAATAATTGTTAAAATTATAATATTTAATTCGCTACGATTTAATTATACTGATTATTTATAAAAAAAAGTTTCAATCTATCAAATAAACACTGATTTATCAAAATATGGTTGGATAAATTATAAAAATCTGAAATATGATTTTTGTTCTGAAATCCCATTAGCTGTGCGATGCACTGGTGCGGTGCAATAATGCTACTGCAATATTGAAGCAATTTACACGAAAATTCTAGTATCAGCCAGGCAGGCAGTATATCCACTAAAATAGACGCAGATATTGTTTGACCGCGAATAAACAGTCGCAATACCAAGCAATTTTATATAGATCAATTCAGACAACCCGTTTGCGGTATTTTGAACGTAATGTTTTTTTGGATAAATGAATGCAAAACTTGATGGCAAATTAACGCAAAACGTTAGTATGAATTGCAAAAAAAAAAAAAAATGGACACGTAAACTGGTGAATTTGTCGCAAATCCCTCGTCTACTTTAGGCCTAATATTGATTATTGAATAATATCGCACACCAGCGACGAAAGTGCCACAATTCGAAAAATATGATTTTCAAATCAGCACTATGAGAATGTTGTAGAGACATTTCTTGATCAATTATGAAAACCCTATTCTTCATAATTAAAGCAATAGAAAGCAATTATTTCGGTTTTTTTTATTTATGTATTCCATAAACATTCTATAAATGTGTTCTGTTATGAATTTCATCTTGATTAACACTATAAACAATGATCTTTAGTGTATAGTGATCAGAAACTATTTTTCACTTTTTTTCGGAAAATTTATCTTTTTGAGTTGCAAGTTACTTTCGTCGCAAGTGTGTGATATGATAGAAATAAAATAAAAATAGTATATTCGAGATGTCTTAAATAAGTAAATTCATTTAGACATTTACTCAATTATCGATGATAGAAAAAAATTTTTTAAACAAAGTTTCATCACATAACTTTTCTGTAGGTGGACATGTAGAGGTTGAAAGTCAATTTTAATGTTTCAAATGGAATCATATGTTTTTAAATTCACTAATTGATGCAGTTCAAAAAGTATTACTTATATACGTCGAATTATTTGTTTAAGAAATAGTTTACTTCAATTTTTATATAAAATATATAAAAGATAAAAATATTATATAAAATATAAAAGATAAAAATTTGAACATTATTGATCGTATTTCCTTGTTTTTTATATGATATGCCTTCTGAAATCGTTCAATCTTTTTATTACCAATAGTTTGACAGATTTTCAAATGAATCAATTTAAATGAAATTTCTTTGTATAATAAAAATATAATAAAAATAAAAATAATAAGTAATAGAATGTAATAAAAATAAAAAATAATAAGAAATAGAATAATAGTAGAAGAAAATAATAGAATAAGTATCTATATATAAAAAATTTAAATAATAATTTTAACATTTAAATGTAAAAATAATGGCGAAAATATAAAGCAACAAATGTTCGTTTATCATTCTCCCTCTCGTATTCGTGCATTCACCTGGTAAACTAAGTATTCTATAGTTTAAATAATTTACCCCGCATAATCATTTTAGCACAGGCCATCATTGGAACAACAGATAGATGATGTTGTGAATCGTCAACGTCGAAAATTGGAGCTATCGACCTTAACATAGTGTGTTGTTGAATATTATGTTTCCAATCCAGCATCGAATTTAAAGTACATTCCACAAGTTGAATATTGTGTGCTTGAGGGTCTATTTCACAGCCAGGATTCTTTGTCGAAACACACATGTAGCATCTTAAATTCTTATCTGTAAAAAAACAACTACTTATAATAAAAATTTTATTGTTGTAGAAATAATTTTAAATAAAATTACAGTTCAATTCCGTTTATATTAACTTATGGATGAACTTTATATAAACAATAATTTATATAATTGGAATTCATATAACAAGAGTCCTCTACTAGTGAAGAATTTAGATCCAAATAAAAAAAACAGATTCAATCAGCAAGAGTTCATAACAAGCATGGGCATTATTTGAAAAATGATTACTTAAATAATGTATTATCTTATTTGACTCGATCTTATCTTTGGTACTATATTTGAATAAATAAATGATTTTTCTTTAAATTATTTAACCATTTAATTATAAAAAAAATTTTTTTCATTTTATTTTGTACTTTATATCTGTTACTTCAAATAATTCTAATTTTAGTTATAGTTTAGTTTATAAATTTCACCTTGAGATTATTTGTTATTTTATTTCAATAAATTAATCTAAACAAAAGATTATTTGCAAATGATTTATTTGATATAGACTCAAGATAAAGTTACTTCTCTTAAATTTTGTAAATTAAAAATATCTACAAATTTTTTATCTGTTGAATAAATAAGATATTAAAACATTTTAACTTTTTTTTTCTATAAATTGCACTCTGCAAATTCACTTTTCATTTTCATTTCATTTCACTTTTTTTCATTATTCTCTCACGATCCTTCGTTTTAGCGATTGTGCTAGTTATTGAATATTTTTATATGTCTCTTCTCAATAATATTTGGCATATTTCATACATGTTTGAATTAATATTTGCAAAATAAAATAACGGTTGTTTATTTCATCTTTTTTTGTTCTAATAAGAAACTTTATTACTTAAGAATCAAAATAATTCGTTGCTTTTTTATTATTAAATTGATATATTTTGCACTTGCAATGACATAACTTGAAAAAGTAGTCACAAAAATCTACAAATATCACAAATGTTTGTAGAAGAGTAAGAATATTAAACATTTCATAGGAACTAATTTATTTGTTAGTTAAACATTATTTTGATTCTGTAAGGACGATATATTTATTTATTAAACAAAACATGAATAGATATTATTATTTAATTTATATTATATAATACAAAACATAAATATATAAATATAATCGATTAGTATAAATCTAGTATAACAATACACAAGTATATAAAAGTGTACAAAATGTTCTTATTATTATTTTAATTACAATCAAAAAATAAATTTTATTTGCTTTACTCCATACATGGTAATTATATGGAGATTCTTATTTTTATTTTAAACGAAAATAAAAAACATTTCAATACTTTACATAGCCAAAATTAGTCAATATTTTGGAAATAGTCTAATTTTAACTAATAAATTAATTAAGGTTAATTAAAAAAATATCCAAGACTCTTCTTTTTCTTTAAATATTTGAAATTTAACTAATGTCAACTTTTACAACTGATTGCATGTGTATATCTTCCAGGAAAAGAATAACGAAATAGATTTTAAATATAATTAGATATGAGTTTGTTTATCAAAACAAAAAGAAACGGTAATTCAAAATAATGTACTTTTCATCACAATAAGCTACATGTACAGAATATAATAACATATAAATGAATAAAATTTTCATAATTGCTCCAGAAGAAGCGTATCATAGTAATGATTCAAAAACCGCATTTCTAAGTTGTCTCACTTTTTATGCAAGTGTGAGATATATTCACGATTAAGAAGCTCAAGTAAAAATGTTTTTAAAACATATGTGACATTATTATTAAACAATTTTTTGTTTACTAAATTTAATAACGATAATAAGAGTGATAACGATAAGAGTGAAAAGTACTTATTTTATAGCTATTTAAGTAATTATTAAATTAAATTACTGTCATCGTAGTGGCTACAAAAAATATTTGCACACCATTCTATTTATTATAACACTTATGTACCTATTCATCAATTAGTTTAAGTATGTTAAATTCCGTATTTTTGTATATTTCATATGATTGAAAAAATTTGAAATTGCGAAAGTGAAAAACCTGTCAAAGGAAACACTTCATCGTAACCGAAAAGTAAATATCACGTACAAATAAATGTAAATCAAGAAAAGATTGGAATAATTATTCTTGAAAATAAATCGTATATGAATAAAATCTTCTATTATTTTCCAGTGTATATGTATAATGCATGTATTTCCTTAGAAAAATATTCCATTCTTTTAGATTATAGTGCATTTCAATTCAACGATTGTTTGTTCTCCAGAAGAAGTAAATAATCTATTTTCGCCTGGTAGACGCCTTTATGACGCCGTAACTGACGCAACGTTTTCTACTGTCGCACATAACTCTAATAAACCAATGGACGGAGCTTGCGTACCGTGAGAATGTTTATAAACGAGCGTACATTTCCAATGTCTCGTTTTCAAATACACGCATGTTCTGTGTAGTTATTATTTGGGTCGCACTATCATGGCGCCAAGAGTCGCGACATTACATTACTCACCCCTACGGAGTGAGCGAATTGTTCTACGGGGTGTCTTAGCTGAAGGAGTTGACCTAGCTTTTCTTTTTTATTTTTAATATTATGGACAATATTTTTAACGCAATAGATAGACTGTAGATTTTTATGCAAATTCGCATTTTTCTGCATCCAATTATAGAAATTGAGTTTAAAGACTTATTTTAATTTCAAATGTTTAGAGACTTATTTTAATTTCAAAATGTTTTATAATATTTTGTATATTTACATTCTGTGCATTATTGAATTTTTAAATTTTACATAAATACATAAAAATCAGCAGTCTAATCATGGATCTTTCTATTTTTTTTTTTTTTTTTCAAAAGCATCAACACTTTTCATTAAAAAACATGTATTTTTTTGTAGGCTCCAGCAGGCGAAAAAATTACCTTTTGAATATGCCTAAATCATAATTTTCAGATGATTGGTTACTAAAGATGCGATGAAATTGTAAGACAAAAATCATTAGATGTGTACTAATTGTGATATCAACACGATGGTTGCTCAGCTTATTATTCACGGAAAACTTGTCAAAAAATGCTGAATCTATAATTTGGCCAGTACGTTCACTGAATAATATTTTCTAAAAGAATGAAATACACACTTCCTACATAAAACGATGTCGATAAGCTTGAGAAACATTTAGAAAAAATACAAAACTTTTTTTTTCATAAAATTCGTCTTTAAAAACTGTTTATATTGTATTCAGAACATTTTCCATGACATTAAAAACAAAAGAGATAGTTAAGTGATCATTTTTCAGCACTCTGTATAATTTGAAGTTCGACAAACCGTAATTAATTTACTATCTTTCTGGTCTTGAATTATTTGGAGTCGACTTCAATACTCGCAATGCAAGAATAATAATTTTCTATCCATATAATTATCTGTTAAATGTACATTAAATGTTATTGCTAAAATAATTAATAGTTCTATTAACAAATAAAATTAAAGATAGAAAAATGTAAACATAATTACTATATACACGATAACGTGTGAATTATTATTTTACAATAATAATGAATTAATTATTATTTTGAATAATAGAATTTCTGTGCAATAAAAATAAAACGATTAAAAGGTTTAATAATTTATTATAAATACTTGAATGTATCAATATCGAATAATTAAATTCCTTTTTCATACCTATTTCGAAAGTAGAAATACATTTATTATTTCATTGTAATCAAGAAAATGTATATTATAAAATTTGCATAGTTTTATGTGAATTATTATAGTATAATGAAAATAATTTTATTCTATGCACATCGTCAAGGACATTGATGATTTACTTAAATGACAATGATATTTATTTAAAATAAAATTGTATAATTATTAATTTTAGCTTTATCGCTATTGCTGACACTTGATTTTAATCTCAATTTTAGTTTCTTTAGTTTCTTTTTTTTCGAAAATGTTAATGAGATAATAAAATTAATTTCTTTTTTTTAAATAAAATGTATTTTATTTATTTGTAAATGATAGTTATTTTATCGATTCCATAAATTGAAATTATACTATCATAAGCTGAATTAGTAAAGTTAGTATAGAATTACCTACATAATGTTAATAGATCATTGAATTTATTTTCGAAAGAGCTCTCATTCACTAGTAAACAAATAATTATAATTTTTAAAAGATATTTAGAAAATGTTTTCTAAAAAAAAGGTTCCGTTAATCTTATGATTAATCTTGTAATTAAACTTTTGCAATAACGTAAAATTATATTTCTATATGATCTCATAAAATTATATAATTTCATCGGAAACATTTTGCCGAATTTTTATATTACTGTGGAAATACTACAGGTATTATCTGCTAAAATTAGATGGCTAGTTTTTTTTCTGCATTCACGCGTTTTTTATTGCTAATTTGAATGTCTGACAATAAAAACTTTGATTTTTCTAAAATATTATAACTAATAATTATTAGCTGCAATTTCTAATATGTTTATATGTAATATAAATATGTTACTAATAATAAATATTAGTATAAATGTACTAATAATAAATATCGTATATGATGTGTATACACAGGTTATATATCTCAGATTTTTCTCGTCAAACAATTTTAGAATAAAAGAAAATATCATATAATGATAGAAAGCAATAAATATCATGTAATAATAAAAGCAAAAGATATCATTTAAATATAGATTTATAAATATTTTTACTATAAATATTTTACTAAGAAGTTACGAAACTTTCAGTTACTTAACTTTTAAGAAGTTATTTAAAAATACAGAATAACAGTTTTTTTCTTTAATAAAATGATTACATGATAGATCGAACAAGATTCAGTATCTATCTCTCAATATCGACAAATATTTATCAAATAAAAAATAACTAAGTCTTACAAATTAATATATAGGAATTGTAATGTATTTAAAGAAATTTAAAAAGATCAACAAAAGTTCCTAATGTAATGAATTTAAATTTTCATAAATGTCAATTCTGTTTTTGTAAAATCAAACAATACTATGAAACGTAATTAATATAATACATATATGTATATTTTTATGCTTTTTCAAACGAAAAAGAAAATGTATTTTACATTCCTATTATAAATTTTCAATAAAATACAATTTATATTTATAATTTTTTGTTACTCATAGAATATGCAAATATTTGACGAAGAAAACTCATACTCTGTGTATACATATAATAAAATAACACACACATATATATATCATTTTGTTTACCCGTCTTTTAAGTTATATTTAAACTGTATATTATAAAGTACCATTTAAGTATTACTATAAAAGTATAAAGAAGAGTATTAAATATATATGAAAGTAATCAGAATATGAAAGTAATCTAAAATACGTAATATATAAATACACAATTTACAGAGTACATTAAATAATTTATATAATCAGCGTATGTAATCGACAATCTTTCATTTCACTAACGTTTCACCATTCTATTCCAAAGAAAAATCGTATTATTAAATCTTTTTCGCATTGTTTTGTGGAAAAAATAAATTGTTGGAATAATCACCTGCACAGACCGCCAACACGAACGCGAGGGTAGCAATTAGCACTAAGATCCTTCGATACATCCCGGAAATAGTTAGTGAATGGCAAGCTTTCTCCTGAAGAAGTTTACTCTCGGGAAGCAGAATGCAAACTGCGATTCGTGACGGAGGGTGAAGCACTGGCACAAGGAAGGGTTGTCGTCGAGTCGACAGCCTGATCACGAGTATGAGATTGCGAGGTTCGCCACTCACCACGCCACTCACCGCGCTCCTCTCCTCTTTTCACCACGCCTCACTGTTTTTCTCCTCTTCGCCACAGATCGTATAATAGCGCAAGTCGCGTGGTGATTTAGCTTTCCTTTCTCTTCCTGTAAATCTCTCTTCTAGATCGTTCGACATAGATCAGCGTTCACATGAATCAAAAGGTGATTCAAAATTCAAGGTGATTATTTTCATTTATGAAATATTTCTTTCGAGCCATACTGCTGCAGCTTTTTCTATCCTGTAACACATAAAACCTTATATGCTAGTGTATAAAATTTGTCATGCAGACAGAGTTTTAAATTAAGATAGAAATAACATTAATAATTTTAATATGGAACACATGGAACACATGGAAAGACAGAGTTTTAAATTAAGATAGAAATAACATTAATAATTTTAATTTTAAATTTGTCATGCAGACAGAGTTTTAAATTAAGATAGAAATAACATTAATAATTTTAATATAGGAAAAACGGAGAGAAATAATTGAAAATAAAAAGAAATATAACTTGCATAATAAATAGTATAGCAATATAAATCAAATATCTAAATATTTTTGCAGTGTCAAAAATAAAATTTCCTCTTTACAGTTCAATATTTAAAAAACTATATGAGATAAATATTGAAATAAATAAAATATTTACATTATCTAGGGATTACAGATTAATATATGATTTTATTTAAGTAAAATATATTCTTAAATATAGTGCAAAAAATATATTTAAAATATAGCGCAAAATAACTGAAATTATGTTATAATGTAATGTTTGAATCAATATTTACACATTTTAACAGCTTATTGAAAGATAAATGTAAGAACACTCACTTCCTGGTTTACTTTTTTGCTGGAATTTTTATTGCGTCAGTGCACTATCTATTTGCAATTCCTTGTACAGTAAAATTTACTTTTTAAGTAAAAAACGTATCGATTGATGGTACATTCATTGGTAATTATTTGCGAAGAAACACACCTTACGACCTTCAAATATATCATCAAAGTCAATATCCTGAATACCTACATCTAATCTAATCTAGTTTTTTTAACTTTAGTTCCACAAACAATTTGATTTGATTTTATGTTAGGCTTTGGTTAGGTAATAAATAAAAAAAAATTTATTTATTAGAATTTATGTAATAATAAATATTTATTATCTTTTAATTTTATATTGTTATTTATATATGTATATTATTATATTTTTATATTTATTAGTATTAAAATTTCGCTCATAACATTTATGCATGCAATTATAAGGCTGTTATAATCGTATTATCAACGAAACAAAAATTTTACTATTTACCTAACAAAGCCATAACAAAGCCACTTATAATGTGTTCTTACTATAAGATTATATAACATATTCTTATTATAAAGTTCCACATTACTTCTACTGTTTCTTTCCTTTTAATATTAACAAATAATCTAAATCTCACAGATAATCTAAATCTCAAATATATCATTCCAAATCAGAATTTAACACCTAAAATAATACATACGCTGTCCTTTAACATATTTTAAATATAATCTTACGTTTGATTGATTCAATTTTGAAAATTAGTTTGGAATGTTTATTATTTATTGCAGAAACTTAGAAAAGTTGTTAATAACACGAGTATTAAAAATTTGTCTCCAAAAAGTTAAATCGCCTTTGTTTGGAAAAAGACGAACGATATCAGAACGGATGTACGACGTTAAACGATTTTTGGCAAAGTCGCAAAATTCTTCTCTAGCTGTGACCTCCGACCGCGCAGATTATTAAGGCTGTCACCCACTTAATGGCACAGCACATGAGGCATCAGACCAACACTGAGAAACGTTAAAATTATTATAGGTAGTTTGAATATAAATACGTCCACTTATACGCAACAGCATGGTATCCAGATCATCTAGATTCGGTGACATTCTTGGCATAAATGTTTCCACGATCAAACAACCACCTATCGGTTATTATACTGCTAGTATAGTGGCAATAAGATGATTATATATTGATAACGTATTATAATGTTATTTTTCGCGTAATAGATAATGAAGAATTAATAAAATTTATTTTTATGTGGTGAAAATTTCATAAACTTTCTGCTCACCTTAAAGTAGATAGATAATTTATTTCAATGTAAAATATAAAATTCATTGCCAATTTTCTTAATTATTCACTTTTGTGTATACCTAATGTTCTCTTCTTTTTCTTCTTTTCATCTTTCCTGTTATTTTTCTATTTTAATACTGAATTCTAATATTTTTTATGGACTATATTACAGTCATTCATGAAAATATTTAAATATTTACTATAGAAAATTCGTATGAATATACTTATATGCACAAATTAGTTCAACTTTTAGATTAAAAGTTAATAATGTAGAATGCTGTAAATTAGCAATGTAAGTTTGAGGATCAACATTGAAACATATCATCATTGAAAAATGAAAATTTACATAAAAGAGATTCTACTGTGTTACATTTTAACATTTTATATCTCGACGATACTTAAAAATACTTTTTATAAACGCTTATATCATTTTAATGTAGCAGCAATTCATAGTCTATAAAGACATATGAATTGAAACGTTCTTTGTATATTGTACGTCTTATTTTTTCCAGTTTACTATTTGAAATATATATAATAAGTAGAACCTTTCTTATGTATATCATTTTATGCAAATGTCTTAAAGTTTGAATATTATATTATCGCAACATTCTTTAAAAAAAAAATATCGAAAAATTAGTAGTTTCTTTCTTTACCTTTTATAAAATTAAAGTTAAAATATTTCCTAAATTAATAATTTTTCAACAATACATGAGTAATACTTTTCTATAGAGAATGTTGAGCTGCGTCGACTAATAAATTAAGAAATATATAATTCTATTTAAGAATGTGAAGATGATCTCTGAAACTCTCTGAAATTCCTTCATCTATGACAAATTAATTACTGTCTTGTTAAGGTCCACTTTATACTAAATAACTTTCGTTAAAATAATTTTTTCATATTTTCAAAAATAATGAAAATTCTGAAATTAAATTCTGATACACTCTATATAATATCTTCTGTATAACATATAAATATATTCAAGAAAATTTTCTATAAGTGTTATAGCTTCTTATATAGTATCTTCTTATATAATATCTTTTTAAAAAAGTTATTTAAAAAAAGATCTGAATTGATGTTAGATATGCGGCAAGTGGCAAGGTTGCATAAGCAATTGAACGTTATCAGTCTGTTATTGAGCTGTAAAACAATCTTCATTGACCGTTTCTAATTTCTAATTCATGCTTCAACGTTTAATTTATGAAATCCATGGCTGATCACATTTTATAAATATTAAATAACATTTTATAACAACAAATACAATGAAAACTATTTTCACAGCTGATAAATAATATTGTTAGCAATACGATATAATAATAATAATATAATATTTTTTCAAGAGTTCATTTATTGTAATAATAAAAATTTGATAATAAAAATCTTTATGTGTTATTATTGCGCGTTACAATGCAAGTATTAGCTAAAATTATTTCTGATTTAAAATGAAAAAAATGAAATTACAATGAGAAATATTTGATTATTATTAATTTATCATTTGCGATGATTAATACAGATGTGTTAAAATATATGATAAAAAATATTGAATTATTATCATCAATCGGATACTTTCTTATTAATCCACAGATAAAAAAGGAAAACTTTAAAGCAAAAGTTGAAAGTACATTTGTATGATTTGTTAATGCTTTCTTACTTTTTATTTTTATATGAAATTAATTTAGCCATTCTAAACATTGTGCGGCAAAGCGAATGTTCCTCTTACATAATTAATACTGTTATTCTATTTTAAATATTTTTTAATTTAATTTAATCAGCCATAGTTTATCGTATTCACTATTAAAATTTATATGACATTTTCATTTATATAAAATACCTACATTTGTAGTACTTATCTATTTACTTATTTTACAATTTACATAATATATAATTTATATAATAATTATAGTCGAAGAACAACAAAACGAAAAATATTCAAAATATATACATAGTTTCGAAGTCTCTCGAAAAATGAAATCGATTCAAATGAAAATTTGAATTACTTTGAATATAATTCGATACTTTAATAACAACTAAATTGTTGAATTTTAAAAGTTAAATTAATTAATATTGGATTTTAAAAGTCAATATTAGTATTGTATGTTTTAATTCTTGACAGTTTTAAGGTTTCTGATAAATAATGAGTATTTAGTATTTTACCCCCATTTTCCAATTAATTATAATATGTAGTTTAAAAATGTATATAAATGTAAACTCAAACTTACCAAATTTTCTTTAATATGTTATGTCAATATTATGTTTGAAGCATTAAAAATGTTTGTAAAATATTGAATACTCATTCATTATGACCTCCAAGATATACAATCAAAACTTTCGAAAAATACCAAATCATACCTAAAACGAATTTTTTGCCGTATGCATATATTTGAAACAATTCTGAATACTTCATAGTCTATCATATACACAGTCTATCATATACATAGTGGTTCAAATGACATCCATTTAAGTTAATTTTATTTTATTTTATTTCTGCAAGTCTAAGCACTTCAAGATCATTACCCATTTTATTTATTATCTATTATATTATGAATTTGTTAAATCGTTCATCTTTTTTATATATTAGTTAATAACTCTCGAAATTTTCTATAAAAAAGTATTAATCTATGTATGTCTAAAAATTATTATTTTACGAGATATTTTAAGTTTATAGAACTTGTTGCATGAAAAGCAAGAATAATTCCTATCTTCCCATGTCTTGTATACAATAAATTTTTCATAATTGAAGTTAAAATATTTCCCAAATTAAATACTTTGTATACTTTTTTTTTTATAGAGAATGTCGATCTATGTCAATTAATGGATTTAAAAATATATGTTTCCATTTAAAAAATTGGAGATGATCTTAAAATCTTCAAAAATCTACCAAGTACGAAAAAGTCATTACTACCACATTATAGCCCTTT